CCCAAGTTTGGCATTATGTAACAAAATCCTCTCCATAGTGCAGGCAGGGTCTCTGGGTGGCTGCCCGCATCTGCTCCACTTCAGGGCCAGTTGGTCTTAAGCAGTAAGAGGACACTCAGCGTTACAGTAGAGCAGGCTGGGGAAGTGGATCGGTGCCTGAAAACACAGGCCGCTCTTCCAGAAGATCCCGGTTCAATTCCCAGCACCCATGTGACAGTTTACAACCATCTGTAACTCTAATTCTGGGAGCTCTGAAGCCCTCTTCTGGTCTCTGTGGGCAATGTATACACCAGATACACATATACATATAGGCAAAACACACATATACATAAAATAAAAATTAATACATCTCTTTAAAACTTGTCCCAGGGGCCGGGCGGCAGTGGAGTCTGCCTTTAATCCCAGCACTTGGGAGGCAGAGCCAGGACGATCTCTGTGAGTTCAAGGCCAGCCTGGTCTACAGAGCAAGATCCAGGACAGGCACCAAAACTACATGGAGAAACCCTGTCTCGAAAAGCCAAACCAAACCAAAACAACAACAACAACAACAAAAACAAAACAAAAAACGAAAAACAAAACTTGTCCCAGAAAGCAGTGATGAATCTGTGACAACGATATTATTTGTGAATGTATACATAGATTTTTTTTTTTAAAGATACAGAAGCTGGGCATGGTGGCATGCACCTTTAATCCCAGCTCCTGGGAGGCAGAGGCAGGAGGATCTCATGAGTTCAAGATCAGCCTGGTTTACATAGTGAGTTCCAGGACAGCCAGCCAGGGCTATGTAGAAATACCCTGTCTCCAAAGCAAGCAAACAAACAAACAAACAAACAAACAAACAAACAAACAAGGGGATGAGAGGTGGCTCAGTCATTAAGAGAATTGGCAGCTTTTTTCAGAGGACCTGGGTTCAATTCCCAGCACCCATGTGGCAGCTCATAACTGTCTGTAACTCCAGTTCCAAGACATCTGGCACCCTCCACAGACATGAATGCAGACAAAACACCAAATGCACATATAATAAAAATAAATAAATTTTAAACTTAAAAAATAAAGACAGAATATGAAAACATCAACTGTTTTGTCAAAAGAAAAAATGTTGGGCACAGTGGCATAGATGGGGGTCACCACCATGCCTGGCTCCTACATATATTTTAAAAACAATAAAAACACATCTTTAGGGCTGGAGAGATGCTCAGCAGTCTGGAGCATTTGCTGTTCTTGCAGAGGACCCAGGCTTGGTTCCCAGCACCACACTGGTGCTCTGGTTCATAGGTTCACACTGTCTGTGGGTATACATGTGGTGCACCTCCACATGCATGTATGTGGACACAACACTCATGCACATAGAATAAAATAATCTGAAAACATAAAAAAGTCACGGGCCAGGTCTGGAAAGAAGGACTCAGTGGTTCAGAGAATTCGCTGTTCTTTCAGAGGCCAAGTTTAGTCCCAGCAGCCATCAATCAGCTCACTAGCACCTTTAACTCCAACTCCTAGGGATACAACTCCAGGAACCTCCAAGGCATTCCATACTGTGCATACATGCACACACACTCATACACATACATACACACATGCACACACACTCATACACATACACACATGCGTACCAGGTGTGTGTGCCTATAATCCCAGTACTTGAGAGTCAGGAGGGCTATTGAAACCTCTATGTATGTCTTGGCTACTTAGCAAGGTCCAGGCCTGGGCTACGTAGAAGACATTGTCTCAAATAAGAAGGAAGAGGAAGGCAAGAAGAGAAGGAGGAGGAGAAGGGTGGATGAAAATTGGATATAAGGAGGATTAAATGGATAGATGTAGATGTTTTTCTTTGTGAGGCAGTGTGTGCGTGTGAGAGTGTATGAGTGTAATTTATTAATGATGTTTGGTGTTTTGATGCATGAAAAGAATGACATCTGAATGCAAGATTGGATGAATGAATAGATGGATAAGCAGCTGGGTAGATGGAGCTAAGTGGACAGGTTGGGAATGAATGCTTGGACATTAAGAAAGTTAGAAAGATAAGAGGTAGGTGTCTGGACGGATGGATGGGTGGGTGGGTGGATGGATGGATGGATGATTGGGTGGATGGATGGACGGATGGATGGATGGATGGATGGATGGATGGATGATTGGGCAGGTGGGTGGATGGATGGATGATTGGGTGGGTGGGTGGATCGTTGGATGGATGGGTAGGTAGGTGGATGGATGGATGGGTAGGTGGGTGGGTGGGTGGATGGTTGGACTTATGGTTGGCCTCATGAATGAAGAGAATGATGATAGTTCAGACGATGTCCTACCTTTATCTCTACTGCTGTGAAAAAATACCCTGACACAATCACCTCAGGAGGAAAGGGTTTTCAGTTCACAGCTCCAGGTCTTGGGAAAGTGGAGACAGAAACTCCATCTTGAGGCAGCTGATCACATACATCCATAGTCAAGAGCAGAGAGAAGACAAAAGCCTGCTTGTGTTTGCTCCCTCTCCACACATGGGCAGTCCAGAATCCCCTGCCTAAGGAATGGTGTCCCCCACAGTGGGCTGCTGTGGGAGGGTCTGTATATCAAATGTGTTGCTCTGATTGGTCAATAAATAAAACACTGATTGGCCAGGGGCCAGGCAGGAAGTATAGGCGGGACTAACAGAAAGAGAATTGAGAGAACAGGAAGGCGGAAGGAGACACTGCCAACCGCCGCTGCCATGACAAGCAACATGTGAAGATGCTGGTAAGCCACGAGCCGTGTGGCAAGGTATAGATTTATAGAAATGGATTAATTTAAGATGTAAGAACTAGATAGCTAGAAGCCTGAGCCATTAGGCCAAACAGTTTAAATAATATAAGCATCTGTGTGTTTATTTTATAAGTGGGCTGTCGGACTGCCAGGGCTTGGCAGGACCCGGAGAGAAAACTCTCCAGCTACAGTGGGCTGTCTTCCTACCTCAATTAACATAATCAGAATAATCCCCAGACAGGTCCACAGGCCAAGCTGATTTAATAAGCCCTTGTTGAGACTCTCTTTGCAGATGATTGCAGATGTGTCAGGCTGACAATCAAAACCACCACAGGCCAGGTGGGGTGGCAGACACCTTTAATCACAGCACTCAGGAGGCAGGCAGATCTTTTTGAGTTCGAGGCCAGCCTGATCTACAAATTGAGTTCTGTGTTGGGGCCACAAAGTGAGAGTTTTTTAAAAAAAAAAAAAAAGTGCAAAAACTAAACATCACAGGTGGGTAAGCGGGTAGATGGCTGGAATGATGGGAAGCCAGAGCACATTCCTAGTTCTGAAGTTTGTAGGCTACGTAACCTTGGGCAACTTCTTCCTCTCTTTCTCCCTCTTTCCCCCCTTCTCTCTTCCTTTCCTCCTTCCCACCCTCCTTTTTTTCTTCCTCTCTCTATTCTGAGATAGGCTCTTACTCTTAACTCAGGCTAGCCTCAGTGTGACTATAATCCTACTGTCTTAGTCTCTTAAGTGCTGGGATTGTAGGACACTCTACTCAGCAATTTTTTTTTGAGACAGGGTGTGGTGTTATATTGTTTGTAATCTAAGAAATAAAACTTGCCTGAAGATCAGAGGACAGAGCAGGCCACAGTCACCACCTCTTACCTCACCAACTCCTCAGTCTGACAGAGGAAGATTCTGTCTCCACAAATCCTCAAACTGAATGCCCCTGAGTCCTCAGCCAAAAGAGCTCTGAACTCCTGTCTCCTCCCGCCTTATATTCCTTTCTCTGCCCAGCCATACCACTTCCTGTCTCAACCTTCCTAGTGCTGGGATTAAAGGTGTCTGATCCCAAGTGCTGAATTACAAGTGTGTGCCAGTACTGCCTGGCTCTGTTTCTCTTTTAGACTGGATTAATCTCATGTAGCCCAGTGTGGCCTTGAACTCACAGAAATACAGACGGATCTCTGCCTCTGCCTCTGCCTCCTGAGTGCTAGGATTAAAGGTGTGTGCCACCATGGCCTGACCTCTGTGGCTAACTCTGTGGCTAGCTCTGTCCTCTGATCTTCAGGCAAGTTTTATTTCTTAGATTACAAACAATGTATCACCACATTTCCCCTTTTTTTGTCTAAAATAATAAAAGAAGGTTATAACTAATATAAGAAAAACTGCCGGGCGGTGGTGGCGCACGCCTTTAATCCCAGCACTCGGGAGGCAGAGGCAGGCGGATCTCTGTGAGTTCGAGGCCAGCCTGGGCTACCAAGTGAGTTCCAGGAAAGGCGCAAAGCTACACAGAGAAACCCTGTCTCGAAAAACCAAAAAAAAAAAAAAAAGAAAAACTATATACAATAAGTACAATAACTATATACAATATATACACTCAAGAATTACATTAATAACATCCAGTCCATTAACAGTTGACAAATTCAGAGAAAATACTCCATTATTTATTATATTTTGGCAAATCCAATGTGTTCTTCCTAATTCACTTTCTATCCTAATTTGTATTACCACCAACAGGGTCTTGTTATATAGTCCTACACTATGTAGCACAGGCTAGCCTTGAATCCCCACCCCGCTTCTGTCTTCCAAGTGATGGAGCTACAGCAATGTGTTAGTATACCTAGCTTGGCAATTTGCCTATTTTCCTTCCCTCCCTTCATTTCTGTGACAGAGTCGTGTAGCCCAGGCTAGCCTCTGACATACTATATAACTAAGGATGATCATGAACTTCTGAACTTCCTACCTTCACTTCCCATTAGAAGCATGAACCACCACACTCAGCTTTTTGTTAATTCCCCCATCCCCCATTCCCGCCCGCCACCGCCCTCACACACTCTGCCTGTTTCCTCATCTGTTATGATGAATGAATGATAGCAGTAGTTCCTAATCTTGGGATTTGGTGTGAGGAGTGAATGGACTGATACACATAGTCAGGGCGTGGAGCATACCTCTGTTTGTTGTAGTGGGGGCGAAGATGGGTAGGTGTCTGGAAAAACAGGGCAGGATGGAAGCCCTCGGAGCCATGGGGGAGGTGAATGAATCCCACGCTCACACAGAGACCCCTTAGACGTTTTATTAGGGCTTAGACAGAACTGGGGGGCCTTCCGTCTTCCCCAGGAGGAGCTCAGATCTGGACATAGGACAAGGTGATGTCACCTTTGATCTCCAGCATGTCTATCCTCTGGAACGCCTGGAACCGATGTGAGTAGTCGAAAAGGTGCTGGCCGTTGGCGAACACTTTGAATCGATCGGTGCCGCAGCGGATTGACAGCTGTGGGGGAGGGGAGAGGTAAGGCCCAGCAGGACCCGGGGCTGTGGGAGGCGGGGCAGGGACCCCAGACTCACATCAAAGAACTGCCCAGGGCCAAATGGGTTGTAGCTGATCTTCCTCTCCTCGGAGCCCCAGGAGCCGTTCATAAAGCTGTTGCGAACCACGCCCTCACCCATGCGAGGGTTGATGTGGAGAGCTATGTCCCCGGACGACCCCACCTTGAAGTTGATGATAAAGCTGAGGACAAATGAGATGTCGTCAAGGGGGGGGGCTGGGGTCTTGACCTCTGGGGAGGAGGGGGAGGGCTGGGGTCTTGACCTCAGGGGAGGAGGGGAGAGGCTGGGGTCTTGACTTCTGGGGAGGAGGGAGAGGGCTGGGGTCTTGACCTCTGGGCCTGAGGGAGGAGGGCTGGTGCCTTGACCTCTGGGCCTGAGGGCGGAGGGGGAAATTCCCACGCCAGCCTGGGTGCTTACTTCTTGGCTGTGGGAAGTATATAACCCTTGACGATGATGGTCCTTCGGGCTATAAGCCCCCCATGTAGGGTCCCCACATATGGCACAGGCTGTAGAAAAAGAACATGGGTCCCATCCAGTCTCTGACTAGAGAAGCCAGGTGCAAGACCACATTTTCACAGGGAAGCGGCATTTTGCCTGTGAATTGTCCCCAACCACGTCTCCCCCGAACCCTGGCCACCGACTGCATCTACTCTCACCTCCCACCCCCAAACCTCGGCCCACATGCAGTCCACCCTTTCTGGGCTCCCTGTATCCCCTGCTTCTCTTCAGCCCCTAGTCCCTGGAACACCATACCGGATTGAAGGTTGGGGGTCCCGCCATGACCTGCAAATGAAGAAAGGGAAGTCACTGTACAATATTTGACAAATATCCGACATGTATCCATCCCTCTCCCCACCCCAAATTACCCCCACCCCCCACATGCCCACATGCCCCTCCCACTTACAGGCAGGCTGTTCATCTGTGGAGGGTAGTACCCAGGACCCTGCAGGGTGGACAGACAGAAGGAAAAGTGGTGAGGAAATGTAGAGTCCTTCGACTGCGCCCCCCCAGTCTCCTCTGCCATTAATCCTCCACCTCTGGGAGAGCCTGCCCACCCCTCAGCAGGTACTTACAGGTTGAGGTGGGCTAGCCATATGTCCCTGTGGGCACAGAGAGAAGGAGGTCAGGGTTGGGACCCTCAATTCTGGACTGGAAAGCTTTGAGGAGTGTAGCTTGGGGCAGCCCCTCAGGTACGTGGATAGACCCTGCTGTATTTGGGGACCACCAGAGCCTCGGCGGCTTTAGGGCAACACCTGGTAAATTCTGTTCTTTGTTCCGCCTTCCACAGCCTTGTATTAGCCCCTTCTGCCCCAGGGCCCCATTCAACCCTTGAAGTTCCCTAGCCTAGGGTAATCTAGAACGCGGGATTCCAGGGGCAAATGGGGCCGTCGGTACTTCTCTCCAGGCCTGTGAGGACCAAAGCCCTCTCATCCTATCTCCAGCCATCACTGGCCTGCTTCACACACCCAACACTAGAGCAAGCCAGAGCGGGAGTCGGCCCAAGTTCCTGTCTCCACCAGGCTCCCCGCGCGCTTGTGAGTGCTTGTTCACATCTCTTCCAGTCTCTGCGGCTGTCTCTCCTGGAGCCGCCATGCTGTGCAGGTGACTGACTCTCTCCAGAACACCTCCACAGCCTCATCGGCCTCTTTTCATTTCTCTGGTAGCCTGGGCTGTCCTGGAACTCACTCTGTAGACCAGGCTAGTCTTGAACTCAGAAATCCCCTGCCTCTGCCTCCTGAGTGCTGCAATTAAGGGTGTGTGCCACCACTGCCCTGCTCATCATCCTTGTTTTTATTGTTTTCTCATCTTTTTAATTAACTCCTGTTCTGAAAGCCCTTCAAATCAATCAATCATCAATCTGTCTCACCACCACCACCACCACCACTACCACACATATACATATACACCAGGGTCTTGATATGTGGCACAGGCTGGTCTCCAACTTGCAGTGAACACCCTGTCTCAGCCTCCTGATGCTGGGGTTACAGGCAGGAGTCACCATACAGGGCAGACTCCATATTTGACATCAGCACCCCAACCCCATGATTGTGTGGCTGTAACTTGTTCCTTCTCTCCTTTGGATGACGAACTCGTCATTTTGATTCACTGACTTGTTGAAGAACAGGTTGATTGATTTTATTTTATTTTCAAAATATTTATTAAATGTATGTGTATGTGCCTAAGTACATGCCTGTACCATGTGTGCAGAGCCTGTGGAGGTCAGAGGAGGCTTCAGATTCCCTGGACTGCAGTTACAGATGCTTGTGAGCTACCGCTTTGAGTGCTGGGAACTGAACCCAGGTCTTCCTGGTCTTTTTAAGACAGAGTCTCACTATATAGACTGGGCTGGCCTTGTGCTCACAGAGATCCCCCTGCCTCTGCCTCCCAAGTACTAGGATTAAGTAAGTGCTCTTCATTGCAGTCCCTCCCTCTAGCCCCCAGACTGACAGCTTGGACTCTTAGGCTTTCGTTGCTTAGTTGGTTGGTATTGAGAAAGGAACTCAGGAACTCATCCCACACCCTAAGCTAGCTTACTCTAGCTGAGCCAGGGCCCTAGCTCCTCACTGGGGGATTCTAGGCAGGGGCTTCACCACTGGGCCACATCCCAGCCCCTCACTGGAGGATTCTAGGCAGGGGCTCTACCACTGAGCCACACCCCAGCCCCTCACTGGGGGATTCTAGGCAGGGGCTCCAACACTGAGCCACACCCCAGCCCCTCACTGGGGGATTCTAGGCAGGGGCTCTACCACTGAGCCACACCCCAGCCCTCACTGGGGGATTCTAGGCAGGGGCTCTACCATTAAGCAAGCTTCAACTTGAGACTTTTGGCAGTGGCGTGCTACTTTATCGCAGTGGGTGTGTGCTGGAGGCTCCTCGTAGGCTGTGTACTTGGGTGTGGAGCTTCTAGGACACTGGGACTCATGTTTGCTTGGCCTTCAGATCTAGCTCTGTTGGCCAATTTCCAAGGTGATTGCACCAAATTACTCCCTGAACAGCCATATGGTAGCTGTGCTCGCTGATCCACATGCCTGCAAAAGGACACACAGTATTGTGCCATGCTTTGTTCCATTACAACCTGATGGGTATGCAGTGACAACTCACTGTGGCTTTGTGCTTCCTGGGTGACTAATGTGCCAGGCAACCTGTCCTGAATGTGTTTGCTAGTCCTGAACTCTTTATCTTCTAGTCTTTTCTTGTCTCACTTTCTGACCCAGTTTCTGACCTCTTCTTCCTCCTGGAAGCCCTTCTTGATTAAGTCAGATTCTTCCTTTAGCAGCTCAGAGCTCCTTGGTATAACCCCGCCCCTCTGCCTGAGGCCCCTTATTGGATCCTGACCCTCTCTCTGCCCACATCCCCTCTCACGGTCTTGACCATGGAGCCATGCCTGTCTGGTCATGCATCTATCTTGATCACCGCAGGGTCCCCAGGCCCACCGGTCCGAGGGACTAGAGGTGGGCACATAGACAGTGACGAATGTGAGAAGGGGTCCTTGAAGCAAGTGAAGAGACCTTCCGTACCGGATATGGGGCTGGGGCAGATTGGCCTCCCAGGAAGTTGATTGACTGGAGTTCCAAGTCTCCATCCACATGCAGATGGTTGACCATCTGTAGCGGCAGCCGGTGCCTATATTCATAGAAGGGATTTCCATTTACCACGACCTGGAGGCCAGAGAGAAGGTGTCACACATCAGCACCCTGACACAAGGGACTGTGAGAAGGTGGAAATGGGTGTGTATTTATTTATTTAGTGTGTATGTGTGTGCATGAGTGTTCAGGTATGTGCAGGTGCACGTGTGTGCACGTTTATGTGGACGCCAGAGGTCAGCTGTGAGTGTTGTACTCAGAGCCATCCATCTGCCTTGTTTTTTTGAAACAGGGTCTCTCTGGAACCTGGGAGCTGTCAGTAGGCTAGGCTGGTGGCCAGCAAGCCCCTGATCCTCCTGTCCCTGCCTCCCTGGAGCTGGGATTATGAGCATGGCCCACCACCCCCAGTTCATTATTAGGAAGGGATGGAACTCAGGTCCTCAAACTTGCATTAATGACTGAGTCACTTCCCCAGCCTCAAGGGATCTTCTCCCCCATCCCCAAGAGACAGGGTTTCTCTGTGGAAAGTCCCCACTGTCCTGAAACTCACTCTGCAGACCAGGCTGGCCTCAAACTCACAAAGATCACCTGCCTCTGCCTCCTGAGTGCTGCTGGGATCAAAGGCGTGAAATCTTAAATTAAAACTGGCGGTGGTGGTGCACGCCTTTAATCCCAGCACTCGGGTGCAGAAGCAGACGGAAATCTGTGAGTTCAAGGCTGGCCTGTTCTATATAGCAAGTTCCAGGATAGCCAGGCCTATAGAGAGAGATCCTGTCTCAAAAAAACAAACAAACAAACAAATGAAACAAACAAACAAACAAACAAACCAACGGTAAAAGTCAAAGGAAGGCTGGGAGCGTGGCTTAGTTACGGAGCAAGCACTTTGCACTCACAGGGTGTGCACCAGGCTCTGGAGTCCATCAGCAGGGTAGACGGCAGGGAGGCCAAGGGTGAGGGAGGGCTGCAGGGAGGGGGGCTGCAGGGAGGGGGA